TGTTGGTTGACCGATTTCTTGAATTAGTATGGGAACTGACGCTCTGGCCGCCAGCAGGGCTTAATGACCAAAGTGAGTTGTAGGCTCTGTGTTTGTCTGATTTTCTGTAATACTTGAGGTATTATTGCTGGCGGGCGGAAACGCTGCACGCATTGAGGCCTTCCCATGATAGACTTAGAGCCGCCCCGCTCTGCCCAAGCTTGGGGGTCTGGGACTGGTGACACTAATGTCGGTAGCTGATTGTTGAATCGCTGGCTTAATAGGTCTATTAGCGGGCGCCCTAATTGCTTGATTATCTGTGCAAAAATTTCCTGTTGATCATCCACTCTGTCGGTGATGGTAGATGAGGCCGAGAGAGCGCCTGCTAGTATATTTCTGGCCCGGAATGTGCACTGCTCTGACATGTAGATTTAGATCTTGTATTAAATCTAACAGTTGAAAGCTTAGGTTCAAAAGGTTCATCGATCCGCTGAGCCTTGCTTGTTTATGTAGAACGCCACTGTCGAATTGTCTGTATGGATCATTAGGTGCGCATTTTGTAGAAATGTGCTCCAATGTAGAATGGCGCTGATTACAGCTTTCATTTCTAGACTGTTTATATGGAGTTTGCATTCTTGCTGATTCCATAATCCTGATATCGCGGTGGTTGGTGAGATGAGCTCCCCAACCTTGGAGTGACGCTGGCCTACATACAGATGGGTTTTGTATTCCTGCTCTGCTAAACAAATCCCTTCGCAGACATTCGATTTCTTGGTCCACCATAGTAGATGAGGTCTGAGATGTTTCGGTAGACTGAATGGTTGTACATCGCTGAGATGTGCGCTGATGAGGACCTGTAGGGGACGTGAACTGTAATCTGCCTGTGACAGTCATGTCTTGGGCTGATGTGAGAAGACCTAGTAGGCTCTGCCATTGTCGGCGGTAACGGAGAGAGTAGAGCTGGTGGAATGGTCTGTTGTATCTTGAGCCAACGGCCTTCTGGTACCATAATATACGGTTAAGCGATTTGTGATGAATCAATACCTAGGAACTGCAGGTCTTGGCGATGGTACTAGGTCCGACTTTGCGTAAGTTTACTAACCAACCTAGTTGTGTTAGTAGCTTTTATGATGTAATTTAACTGTAGTTTGAGACGCGAGTGGATCTTGATCTACTTATATCCCGGCCGTCGAGGTAAAACGCGACTGGCGTAGCCTCTTGACGATGTAGAAATATGATAATCGGTTTCGTTATCCTCGTGAATAGCCAGGGGCTGATGATATTCAATGGGAGTACTTTCCACTGGTAATGTAGCCCTTCTAGAGTAAATCGTAGGTATTTCCTGGAATCGGGATGAATGGGGATGTGCAGGTAGGCATCCTGTAGATCTATGCTGCCCATGTAGTCCATAGGGATCTAATCATCTGGCGTAACTGAGGTAAATGTATCATGCTAAAAACTCGGTGGTTTGGCGTAGATAAATCTTGTTGAAAAGCTCATGTTGTAGATGAGTCTGTATTTCTCCGCGGAGTTTTTCTTGGGAACTAGGAAAACTGGGGAGTAGAAACCTGGTTCGGACGCTTATGCATGATCTATTACTTCTATGGCCTGTTTGGATAGGAGGATGAAACAGCCTCTCTTATCTTTGGTAGTTGCTATGCTTGTAAATCGAACTTGGGGGTTTGATTGTCAGCGAGGCTTGGCCTGTAGTGGGATACGAAAACCGTGTTGAAGAATGTTGGAGACGTAAGGGTCTTGCAATATTCCCCAGTTTTCCCAGTGTAGTTGGAGGCGCCCACCCACTTGAGCTGGCTGTACTGGAACGGCTGGGGTGGAAGACTCCAGTCGTTCAACCTGTGTTTCAGCTGCCTATAATTGGTGGAACCTCTGGGTGTCCTGCCTCTTCCTGATCCTCCTCTATAGTTGCCATATGGGCTTAATTTAAAAGAATCTTTACCTCTAGAGCTGGCTATCTTCCTGTCTCTTGCTCTTTGTAGGCCCGCGGAACTTAGATCTGCCTGAGTATCTTTGTGAAGTCTGACTAATGACGCTGGCTAGTGTGTCCATCGATTTAATCATAAGGACTTCCCTGGAATCCTTAGAGACTTCCTTGGCGACTTTGTCGATTTCTCACAAAGATGGATGTTGTCGACCACGGGCTGTATAAAGTGGGGCTGTAAAGTTCTCCCCACAATTACAGGAAGAAGCGAGGAGGCCTTGACGACGAAGCTAAGGTCAGTGCTGCTGAAACAGATGTAAGATGATCCGCTAAAAACTGCTGATCTTTCTTTGCATAAGTAAGGCAGAATAAATCATTCTATCATCTATCCGTCGTGGAATCCCTCGAATCTAGTAATAAGAGTCTCATTGATCGGCCCTAGATCTATTTAACCCAAAGAACATACGCCTCGCCATGGTTTCTATATGAGCCAATCCTATGCATCATCCATCTTGTAAATCTTGTTCTTTACATCGCTGATGATCTTATAGTTCTCATCGATGTCCTGGGCCTTGTAGAAGGAGTCCATGTTATGCGTGGAGAACTTCTTTGGCATGAAAGTTGGGCAGATGTGGTGTTCGAACTTTCGTGAGCTTTCTGGAAAGCTGCATCTAGATTCTGTGGCACTGCCGCAATCGGGTCGATCGGGGTAAAGTGATTGCATCTGGATCGCCTTCCTTCATCAAACACGCTCATGCTTGTATTGCCACTTTTAGATGGTGATGTGAGATCTAGGTTATTGACCATCCAATACCGTGATTCTGCATCAGAAAATATGATTCCTCCATCATCCTCAATACTCATCATCATTAACAAATTGTAGATGCTCTTCGACCGCGTAGTAGCTGTCTGTATATCTGATGAGGTTTGTATGCATCTAGTTGACTTGTGCCGCTATGTGGAGATCTGACGGTGATCGACCTGGTGATGAACGGCGGAGATCGCTCTATGGGATGATCTTCTCGAGACTTGTGAGGTGAATGTTGATAGCTTCGCTAAGCTCTTCTATAGTCCCTCGATGTTCTTCTAGATGATGAGGATCTGAATCATATGTCCTTCGCTAATGCCTTCGCCTAAGCTTCATTTGCGCCGGGTCCGGGGATCGATGATATGACCTTCGCGAAGGCCTCCGTGATGTCTGATGGTCCGAGTCCATATCTAGAGATGAAATCAAGATGGTGATGATCTATCCCGCCTTCGCAAGGCCTTCGCGGGCTGTACATCTAGGTCCTTCGCCAAGGTGGTCCGACTTCCTTCGCGAAGGTGACATCGCCTTGGCTGCTACGCTGGACGGGGTGCCTCTGGGGTGTTGTTCACGCTGGAGCCTTCGCTGGTTGCTCGACCCTGCTTACGCGAGTTTGTAGTGGTCCTCCATGATGTTCATAATCTGCCGCGATCATGTCTTCTGGGATGATCTAGACTTAAGTCGCCGGGCGCCTTTTGGGCGATGGGGTTCACATCAATAACGCCTGACGCCGGGTGTAGAGGCATCAGGCTGCATGGTGATCTCTGCAGAAGTCACAGTCGCTGACACCGTCGCTTCTTCTGCCGTAAGTCGGGATGATTAACGGCTGATCATCGTAGAGGCCCAATTCTGCTGCTGGAACGATCTCGGGCTGAGAAAGTTCTCGCCGTCTTCGTGATTTCCCTTTGGAAGTCTGCGCCCTGGGTGTCCTCAATCTGGCGCTGAGACGACGATGAGGCCCTCTTAGACTTGGTCTGCAATGATGGGATGTCTGGGGAGGCCGGTCGCTTCTTTTTCGAGGTAACGGATCATGCGCCCCACGCCTTCACCGTAGGGGTCTCTAGCAGAACACCAGACGGAGAGGGTCGATCGCTAGCAGCTGACTGGATGGAATATCTGGACTCTCTGCCATGTTTTGCCCTTGTTTGCGTTGGATCTATCTGCAGCACGCCTTAAGACGCAAAGATGATATTTATTAAATGCAGAATGAGATAAATTAATGCAGTAACTGCAACGGAATTAAACGCACACACGCGTGAGAACAACTAGGGCATATTACATGTGGATCGGAGGCAGAAAACGTAATCTACAAATCGCATAGATTTTCATCAACGAAAAGTTAGCTGAACAATCAATAATCACACACGGAATAAACAGTAGAAATAATGATAATTAATCAATACAAATAGTAAAGGATACTAGCTATACCTCTATAGTAACCTATGAGAGGTAAAACTAAGAGATTATCAAAGGATATGGTGTGTAAGGAGACACGAGGCGCTCTCACATCCTGCTCACTGGGCGAAGAAGGAGAGAGTGAAGCACATGGGCCGAAGGTGGCGACACCTTTCCCGCCAAGGGAGACAAAGGGAGGCTACTCGTGGTGAGTACCAATTAGTGATTTTATTTTGAAGGGAGCTTCAAATAAGGAGATACAAGTGTTCCACTATGTTCGCAAGAAGAAGAAGACAAGCAAAAGAGCATGAGTCAGGATAAGGAAAAATATATTTTATTCAGATTTCCAAAACTACCAAAAGGCACCAGTACACCACGAGATCTATCTATGTGCCAAGTTTGGTGAAGAAATAGTGAACGGTTTTAGAGTTCTGCTCTGGAAAAGAGCACTACCACCAATTTCAGTCTAAGTTGAACTTGTTGCCATGGAAACACCAAAAATATTTTATTCAGAATTCCAAAACTACCAAAAGGCACCAGTACACCACCAGATCTATCTATGTGCCAAGTTTGGTGAAGAAATATGGAACAGTTTTAGAGTTCTGCTTAGGAACAAAAAAATGTGCACGGATGGACGCACGCACGCACGACGGACGGAGTCCATTTTAATACCCCCCCCAAAACGCGTTGCGGGGGATAAAAAGGCTTTTATTTATTGTACAATATCTTTATTAAAACATTGATACAACTGTCACATGACATTTTCAGCCGCAGAAAATGCATATATGTACCCCAAGGACAGACTCTATGAAAAAGAATGATTTCGATAAGTGAGGTGTGACTTGATCAAGAACGCACTCCTGGTATAACTCTGTTGCTTACTTCTTGCGTCTGGGAAACTCCTCAGACATCCACGGTTCAAACTTGAGTAGGGACGACCCCGGACTGCTCGGCCCAGACACTGGAACACAGGCACAACCGTCATTAACATGTCACTTTCTCTCATGGCCTCTCAAACACCATATTGCTACCAGGAAAGTGATAGTCAAGAAATATCAATGATCTTAATTGGATTTAATTTAAAGACATATTTTAACATTATTAATGAATTTGTTGGACATTAAAACATTTAGTACTAAATGCACAAAGATCTGAAAATAGGAATACGATCACAGTTTCAAGGCTGCTTCAAATTTCCCAGTCATGTAGTCGTGTCTAATGTAGGATATAAGAAAGGATGATCTAAATGTATGATAATCGCCTATATAACTGATATCTGATCAATCACTGTGGGTTCTTGCTTCAACTCCTAACACTGCATAACTGACACATGCCCAGAGATACTGCTGGAGGTGACTATGAACTAGACAGAGAGAGCCCAGGGCTTTCCAGACTACGAGGGTCCAGGTTTCAGCATATACAGAACATATATATACAATACAATATACAATACAATATACAATACAATATACAATACAATATACAAATGAAGGCGACAGTCCTGGAAGGGAGACAACTGACCGATTTCCACGGAGCCCTGGCTCTGGTTGTGTCGGCCATAGTGAGAGTAGCGAGGAGGGACATCTTCACTGAAGGTCGGTGTGTTTCGGTCGATTGTGGAGTTGCTCTGAATCAGGGAGATAAACACACCATTGTCTTAGAACACCCTGGCATGGAAAGGGGAGTAATTCTGCAGACAAAATGGCTGAGCTCTGAGAGCCCTGGCCACCTTGATCTATACTGAACAAATCCATGTGACTGCAGACAGGAAATCACAAAGGTACATGCATCCAAAACATCTGATCCCCTAACACATCAGAATGGTCTCTCCATGTACAAATTGTTTCAAAAACGGTTGAACTTGAACTCAAACTGAACTGTCATTTGTTTTACACCCCATCAGTAACATCAACATACAAAAAGTATCACATGATGTGAAGAACATTGCCTGTCCTCCACAAGCCAGGGAACGTGACCCACCTGTTGGGTGAGCTGTAGTATGTGACCCACCTGTTGGATGAGCTGTAGTATGTGACCCACCTGTTGGCTGAGCTGTAGTATGTGACCCACCTGTTGTGTGAGCTGTAGTATGTGACCCACCTGGTGGATGAGCTGTAGTATGTGACCCACCTGCTGGCTGAGCTGTAGTATGTGACCCACCTGTTGTGTGAGCTGTAGTATGTGACCCACCTGCTGGCTGAGCTGTAGTATGTGACCCACCTGCTGGATGAGCTGTAGTATGTGACCCACCTGGTGGATGAGCTGTAGTATGTGACCCACCTGTTGTGTGAGCTGTAGTATGTGACCCACCTGCTGGCTGAGCTGTAGTATGTGACCCACCTGCTGGATGAGCTGTAGTATGTGACCCACCTGCTGGATGAGCTGTAGTATGTGACCCACTTGGTGGATGAGCTGTAGTATGTGACCCACCTGTTGTGTGAGCTGTAGTATGTGACCCACCTGTTGTGTGAGCTGTAGTATGTGACCCACCTGTTGTGTGAGCTGTAGTATGTGACCCATCTGTTGTGTGAGCTGTAGTATGTGACCCACCTGTTGGATGAGCTGTAGTATGTGACCCACCTGTTGTGAAATGCTTGGTGAGCTGTAGTCCACTGGACAGAAGTGAAATGGCTGAAAGTCAGGAGGCATGGTGTATCTGTAGTGAGCTGGGTAGGAGCTGTGAGAGGAGCTGGGGGGATATGGGGGAGGTGTGTACGCCGACACCTGATTCCCCGACCGATACGGTGGCTGAGCCGGCGCTTGGCTGCAAGAGCAAAGTGTAAAAGTCATAAGAAAAACAACACCGTGAAATTTATGATCAATTCAAGGCTTAATGACAAATATTACTTAACTCATTAAGCCCAAGGGCGACTTCACTACTCAACACCTGGAACCCCTCGCTGATTGCCCGACTCGCTGTACCGAGACTAAGCACACCTGATTTCCCTGGCAGGTTTCGGGGATTACAGGAAACTGTCTAGTCGTACAAACAAGTCCTGATTGTTTAATTGTGTCGTATGTTGAAAGAAAGCAGGTGTGAATACATATCATGTATTGCAACGTTTTATGTAGTTTTATTGCAAGTTTCTCTTGTAGACCTTTGGCGGCTTGTATGTTTATATTTTATCAACATATGTATGTATTCTTTGTATGTAAGAGGTGAGACATACATATCCAAATTCTCTCTCATATCATTGTGTCAGGTTTAATTTTACAAAACATCTATGACAATGACATACTGGAAAGAAGAATTTACTTACATACTTAATAATCTGCTACGAAATTAACGTTTTTGCCGATACATTTCTAGTGTATACGGACTATTATAAGGAAAGTACTATTACGCTAGTCTGTGACTAACATAGAGCACATTCCTAGCTTGGCACTTTGTTTCATCTAGATTTAATGCAGAAAACATACGTGATCATACAAACATACATATAAAAATTGTATACTACATATTCCTTGTATAGACATAAAACAAAGAGTCACATGATAGGGCGTCTTCAAATTTCCTGAATAGAACGTTCAGTATCTCAACTGTTCAATATACTAGTAGTGGCTGGTCATTTGTTATCTATGACCAATCGTATCATGAGAACCCGTCACGGAGGAAAGGACAGGTGATGGGACATGGGCAAAATTTCTGAAGAGCATGTGTGGTCACTCAACAGCTTGGATAGAGACTGATTATTGGCTATATCATTGACCAGTCGATATGCTGGGTTTCGGCTTTATCAACTCAAGCTATCATGTAACAGTTTGTGTATTGTACACATACATACTGGTAACGATGTATGAAATATACTCATAAGACAAATAGTAGTAGACAGACACTTTGGCGAGTGTATTTGTCCTCAGAGATCGAAAAACACATGTTAGTGTTTTCGATTAAGTAAAACAAAGTGTTTGAAATCCAACCATTGAGTAGAGATAGTATATATTTTCATATACATTTTACAACTAGTACATAAAACATAATGGTTTGCTGTACATGTAAATATCATCTTCACCTTGATACGAATGAATATCCAAACTAAACTACACGTATTACATAATTCACGAAGTGACACAATACTGAATTATTATGTTGTATAAACTTGCAGCTGAATCCCCCCAAATATTAATGAAGATGGGTGTGCCTATATTTATACTGAATGCACACGAGGTTCATAAGATTACAGATTTGCATATATGCATAAACATTACAGAGAGGGGTGTGACTCCATAAAGCAGGTTGTCTAATGATATAACAGCGCATCTGTTTATTTTACACTTGTCACGGGACAAACCTTTCAACAAGGATGTAACTGCATATGCATTCTACCGGAGGCTGTTATTTCAAGGTCTAATTCAATCAATGTGCATAAGAAGTATTTTAGTATCCATTCCCAATGAAGAGTACCAGACACTTACCTCTGTAAAAACATCATAATCCCCCTTTCTCGCCGACATGTGTTCATTAGCCAAACGCTGTACAAGCCTATGATAATGATTAGCAATTGCTATCAAAACACTTTAAATACTTCTTCTGATTGATACTAAAGGTAGTATCTCTCGTAAGAAAAGCTAATATTTGCTCAGTACTACTAAATTGGTTGAAATAATAGGTACAGTGCAATTTTTTAAAGTATGACACACATGTGCGTCTCTCGCTGAATAAGAAGTGCTTTCTGTTGTTGCACATGTGCGTCACTCGCTGAATAAGAGGTGCTTTCTGTTGTTGCACATGTGCGTCTCTCGCTGAGAGAAGTTAATTAATTTGTCGCACATGTGTGTCTCTTGGCCTTAATGAGTTAAACCTTCTGACAAGGCCTACCAACTTCCAACAACCATGTTAGCTGACATATGAGCATCAATGAACACAAATACATCGGTGGTGTTGAATAACGGAAAACTGTGAATACTGTCTCACCTGTTTGGATGATGTGAGTTTCTTGGAGGAACTCTTGTTATTGGGGACGGAATTCTGTTTTCAAAGAGTCGTTCTGATGGAATGTCTCCTATTGGGAAGTCTATAGACGTCGGTCTGTTGCTACCCCCTGGTCCCGGGTGGCGCTTCTGTGGATAACTAGACTGACTAGGGGGTTTACCATGGTTTACAGGGTACACATTCTTTGGTTGTGAGGATCCAGAGTCAAACTCGGAGTGTGTGTGACATGGTGGTGGGGAAGAGAGCAGCTTTGAATGGGCATTGTTGAGAGGATGTACATACAACTTGTCCCTCTCAGGTTGTCCATTGTAGAAGGCATAGGGAGCTGCTGGGGGACTCACAGGGGATTTCCTCCGTGGTGGCGTAAACAGCGACCTTGGTTCGTCTTGTCCATATCGAATACTGGAATCTGAGTTCTGACTGAAGTGTCTCCCTGGGGAGTTCTGACTGAAGTGTCTCCCTGGGGAGTTCTTGTCATCATAACATGAAGGTTGGATGTAAGAGTCGGGTCTCAATGGAGGCCTCTCCTTCCCGGGATGGGAACGAATTACAACTGTGTTTTTCCCAGGAAGAAAGGCAGGTCGAGGCTGGTGACTGGATTTTGGCCATGTCCCGCTATTGCTGTCTATTTCAAATTCAGTTTTCCGTGATTTGGGTTTTGAATTTTCTTTCACTCTCTCATCCTTGTTATGATTCATAACGGGATCAAATTCTGCAATGATCTTTTCCTGAGTTCCCAAATTGCAGTTGGACACATACGGATGACTGCCCCGCTCATCCACGTCTAACTGGCTCTCATTGGATCTCTGAACCTGGCGGAATAGTCCACGGATTACTTCCTTGACACCATGTTGGCGATCACGGCTTTTCCGTGACGCCCCGGAGCTGTCTAAACTATCCGTCTGTGAGCTGTGACTCCGAGATGTCTTGTTCCCTCCTTGAGAGTAACTGTGGCTGCTCATGGCATCCTCCATGAGGAAGCCATGCTGCGGGATGGTGTCCGACTGACTACGCTGGTTGGAATGATACGAATGGTCTGGAAGTGTTGACATAATTGCTTGGCTGGTGGGGGTTGGGGAAGAGCCAGCGGAGTGCACAGGGGACACCTGCCTCAACACATGCAGCTGGACCGGGTCGTTGGATTTCTCCAGGACCTTCAGGGCCTCGCGGGCTGACATTCCTGCTGAAACTGATTTGCTGTTCACCTGGAAAAAACATTTGGAAACTTTCACCATCTTTCAGTGAAACTATTCAGACTTATTTTGCTGCTCTTGTCCAACATGGAAATATTATGTAAAGATGGTTCATAGACTATATGACCTACAAGATATTTCCTGACTACAAAGCTGTACAAATACAAAAGAGAGCTTCACTAAATATTATTTCTGTAGGTAGAAATCTGTTCTCTAGTATTTATCTTCAGAGAGATATTATGCAAAATGTACGCTATCCAACAATCTAGGCACATATTTGATTATATGTTTAATCAGAGATGTAAAAAGAGTTTTCTTTTTTCACAATAAACAAGCACATGTGTGTGGCTGAAGTTGGTATTGCCTGGCACTCCCACCCACCTGTACAATGCGATCCCCGATGCTAGGCAGCATGCCATCCTTGGCAATGATTCCCCCTTGATACATGCGCGTGATGAACAAGCCGTGCTCAATCTGTATACCAGGATCTGGGAATACAAGCATGATCAATGTTCAGATCACCAGTAAAACTACAGTGTACAGTCAGATACATGTCAAACAACCTACCACAGAGACAGTTCTACAGCCAACAGCATGAGCCTCAAGAATGCAAGACCTCAAATCAAGACCCCTGAGAAACTGAGAACCAATAGTTGGCCTCTTTCTACCCTACCCTTATGGACCTCTTTGACATCACATGCCTAAGTGGTAAGTTTCTAATATCACATCCCAAAAGAGCCTGCTTCTATCATCACAAAGTCCTACCTCGTCTGGACTTTTTGTATGGACATCAGTTTAACATCACATTACTGAAATTCAATTGTAAATTTGTCGAGGTTGATAAGAGTAAAAAATATGTACCAAGTCTTGAATAAGAAGTGACACAAATGAGTCCTGAAATAATCAGATGCTGAAGAGAACCTGATAGAGACACTGACAGAGACACTGAAGGAGACACCCTGGCAGAGACACTGAGACTGTTGCTAAGAGTGATGCAAGGACAGATGGGAGACAGACGACTGACAACCCAGTTCCACAGCCTACCTTTGTGATATGACAACCCGGTTCCACAGCCTACCTTTATGACATGACAACCCGGATCCAAAGCCTACCTTATTGACATGACAACCCGGATCCACAGCCTACCTTTATGACATGACAACCCGGATCCTCAGCCTACCTTTGTGACATGACAACCCGGATCCTCAGCCTACCTTTGTATGATATGACAACCCGGTTCCACAGCCTACCTTTATGACATAACAACCCGGATCCAAAGCTTACCTTATTGACATGACAACCCCGGGTCCCACAGCCTACCTTTGTGACATGACAACACGGATCCACAGCCTACCTTTGTGACATGACAACCCGGATGCATAGCTTACCTTTGTGACATGACAACCCAGTTCCACAGCCTACCTTTGTGACATGACAACACGGATCCACAGCCTACCTTTGTGACATGACAACACGGATCCACAGCCTACCTTTGTGACATGACAACCCAGTTCCACAGCCTACCTCTGTGACATGACAACCCAGTTCCACAGCCTACCTTTGTGACATGAAAACCCAGATCCACAGCCTACCTTTGTGACATGACAACAGCAACTGAAGTGGCTGCCAGATACGGGCACTGGTCCATTTTCTTCGTTTTACAACCTGCAACAGAAATAAACCTAATCACACACAAGCAGAGGGAACCCATTTGCAGAAATAATAATAATAATAATAATGTCCATTTATATGGCGCTAAACTCCACTGGGGCGTGCTCATAGCGCATACAAGAGTCAAAGAAAAGTAAAAACTTGGTAGCAGTACAAGGTCACTTTAAAAGTACTAATGGAACAGATGAGTCTTTAAGAGACACTAAAATTGTTCCAGCGACTGGGCGTCTTTGAGAGTGTCTGGCAGTGAGTTCCAATTAGTGGCAGCTGCAACACTAAAGGACTTGTAACCAAAGAACTTTTTCTTCCTTGGTGGCACTATGAGTCTCTGTTGAAATAAACAAACTGGAAGGTTCACTTATGTGTCTTGTACACCAACAACCCCATCTCCCTTCTGCCACCTTGACTACTGAGGAGCTTGAGGTGCCGGGATGGAGCCCACCTGTGACCGGGTGTAAAAACCTTGGAGTCCACTTTGTGTGCAGACTCTTTCAGTGCTGTCACAACCCCTAGTGCACAGTACACAACCCTGTGCACTTAAAAGAACCCACGAATCCGTTGGTATATGACCAGATGGTGGCCACATGAATACATGCAAACACCTAGTTGCGGGTACAGTAAACTTTGACGTGCGGTAAACTTGGACAAAGTATTGTGACTATGTGTCCCAGTCCACCCAGCTGTGAATGGGTACCTCGTAAGGATAGGAAAGCCACATTAACTCGGTGCGCCTAGTAGCTGCAAGAGTTGTATGCTCCCCCAGGCAGTTGAGATTGATAATACGAAATGCCGATGAGACTGACATCCTATGATCAAGGGAAAAACAAAGCACCTGTGAGCAGCCTAGCTGGAACTCGGCGCTATATAAATAGATTATAATATAATATATACTGACACTGTACCAACTCACCAAAGTTATGGTTCCTGAATGTTCTCTCATGGCCTGTGAAGCCAGTCGTTTCTCTACGCTAGTCACATCTCTACCATTGACTTTCAACACTATGTCATTCAGTCTGCAACAGAAACAATGTCATTGTCAGTATACCTGCTTTCAAATGCTATCTTCAAGCAATGGCGGTGCTGCATATTAGCGTCATGACAGCTGCACTGGCTTCAGCAGATCCCAATTAAATCGTCCATGCATGAAAAATAAGTACAGGGTACCTAATCTATCAATACCCACCCCACAAGGGTGGCCATGTTCTCAAAGTACAGGGTACCTGACCTACCCATCCCCACTCCAGAGGGTACTCTTGTTCTACAAGTACAGGGTACCTGATCTACCCATCCCCACACCAGGGGCTGGCCTTGTTCTACAAGTACAGGGTACCTGATCTATCCATCCCACCCCACGGGGTGGCCTTGTTCTACAAGTACAGGGTACCTGATCTATCCAACCCCACTCCAGAGGGTAGTCTTGTTCTACAAGTTCAGGGTACTTGATCTACCCATACCCACTCCATAGGGTGGCCTTGTTCTACAAGTTCAGGGTACTTGATCTACCCATACCCACTCCAGAGGGTGGCCTTGTTCTACAAGTACAGGGTACCTGATCTACCCATCCCCACTCCAGAGGGTGGCCTTGTTCTACAAGTACAGGGTACCTGATCTACCCATCCCCACTCCAGAGGGTAGTCTTGTTCAACAAGTACAGGGTACCTGACCTCTCCATCCCCAACCCACAGGGTGGCCTTGTTCTACAAGTACAGGGTACCTGACCTCTCCATCCCCAACCCACAGGGTGGCCTTGTTCTACAAGTACAGGGTACCTGACCTCTCTATCCCCAACCCACAGGGTGGCCTTGTTCTACAAGTACAGGGTACCTGTCCTCTCCATCCCCAACCCACAGGGTGGCCTTGTTCTACAAGTACAGGGTACCTGACCTCTCCATCCCCAACCCACAGGGTGGCCTTGTTCTACAAGTACAGGGTACCTGTCCTCTCTATCCCCAACCCACAGGGTGGCCTTGTTCTACAAGTACAGGGTACCTGACCTCTCCATCCCCAACCCACAGGGTGGCCTTGTTCTACAAGTACAGGGTACCTGACCTCTCCATCCCCAACCCACAGGGTGGCCTTGTTCTACAAGTAGTTTGGTCAAGTGAGACCAGTCAGAGTTCCCGAGTTGCTGGTTTTCTGGTGACCTATTCTAAGCCTGGAATCCACCCATAGGCACATCCAGCACATCCAGCACCAAGCTGCACCAACCTGAGTTTGCCATCAGCAGCTCCTCCCTTCGCCACGTTGTACACAAAGAGGGAGGGATCATTCTGGAACTGGGGGTCGTCCTTGCCCCCGATTAGGTCAAACCCCAGGTTGTCTCCATTCATCACCTCCTGGTAAAGTAATTAAAAGCATGCCTTGTATATTTCACAATTTTGTTGCTAGTTGGACAGTTTTTGCACTTAATTTCAAGAGACCCAACTGCCTGGTGTCCTTCTGTGTTTGGGAGGCACTTCTTCTTTCATCATGTATCACACTAGCTTTTCCTGTCACTACTTGAATGCATATATAACTTGTTTGTTAACATCAAAGAGTAAGTCTTAAATAATGTGAATCAACCACAATGCCCTACTAGATCTATGATCTATTTGTTACTATTACCCATTAGAATATTTGTTAAGTCATCTGGGATGTGTAACACAGAATGTTACTATGAAAATAACATAATAAAAGAAAAACATTTGTGGACAATTTGAGATCATGAACGGACTGTAACGGATCAAGAGGTAAGTGTAAGTTCACTAACATGCAAGTCCTGTTGATATAGAGGGTATGTGACTGTATGATTGTCTATGTGTAACTTGTTGCGACTGTGTGTAACTGTACCTCTGACAGAGTGTAACTGTATCTGTAACAGTGTCTAACTTTCTCTGACAATGTGTAAGTGTATCTGTAACAGTGTCAGTGTATCTCTGATTGTGTGTAACTGTATCTCTGACAGTGTGTAACTGTATCTCTGACAGTGTGTAACTGTATCTCTGACAGTGTGTAATTATATCTATAACAGTGTGTAACTGTATCTCTGACAGTGTGTAACTGTATCTCTGACAGTGTGTAATTATATCTATAACAGTATGTAACTGTATCTCTGACAGTGTGTAACTGTATCTCTGACAGTGTGTAATTATATCTATAACAGTGTGTAACTGTATCTCTTACAGTGTGTAACTGTATCTCTGACAGTGTGTAACTGTATCTGTAACAGTATGTAACTGTATCTCTGACAGTGTGCAACTGTATCTCAGACAGTGTAATTATATCTATAACAGTGTGTAACTGTATCTCTTACAGTGTGTAACTGTATCTCTGACAGTGTGTAACTGTATCTCTGACAGTGTGTAATTATATCTATAACAGTATGTAACTGTATCTCTGACAGTGTGTAACTGTATCTCTGACAGTGTGTAATTATATCTATAACAGTGTGTAACTGTATCTCTAACAGTGTGTAACTGTACCTCTGACAGTGTGTAACTGTATCTGTAACAGTATGTAACTGTATCTCTGACAGTGTGCAACTGTATCTCAGACAGTGTAATTATATCTATAACAGTGTGTAACTGTATCTCTTACAGTGTGTAACTGTATCTCTTACAGTGTGTAACTATCTGTAACAGAGTGTAACTGTACTTCTGACAGTGTGTAACTGTATCTGTAACAGTATGTAACTGTATCTCTGACAGTGTAATTATATCTATAACAGTGGGTAACTGTATCTCAGTGTGTAACTGTATCTCTTACAGTGTGTAACTATCTGTAACAGTGTGTAACTGTACCTCTGACAGTGTGTAACTATATCTCTGACTGTGTGTAACTATACGTCTGATAGTGTGTAACTGTATCTGTAACAGTGTGTAACTGTATCTCTTTCAGTGATTAACTGTATCTCTGACAGTGTGTAACTGTATCTGTAACAGTTTGTAACTGTATCTGTAACTGTATCTGTGTAACTATCTGTAACAGTGTGTAACTGTATCTGCAACTATCTGTAACTGTATCTGTGTAACTGTATCTGTAACTGTGTGTAACTGTATCTGTAACAGTTTGTAACTGTATCTGTAACAGTGTGTAACTGTATCTGTAACTGTATCTGTGTAATGTATGTAACAGTGTGTAACTGTATCTGTATCTGTAACTGTATCTGTAACTGTATCTGTGTAACTGTATCTGTAACAGTGTGTAACTGTATCTGTAACAGTGTGTAACTGTATCTGTAACAGTGTGTAACTGTATCTGTAACTGTATCTGTGTAACTATCTGTAACAGTGTGTAACCATATCTGTGTAACTGTATCTGTGTAACTATCTGTAACAGTGTGTAACTATCTGTAACTGTATCTGTAACAGGTTGTAACTGTATCTGTGTAACTGTATCTGTGTAACTGTATCTGTGTAACTATCTGTAACAGTGTGTAACTGTATCTGTAACTGTATCTGTGTAACTGTATCTGTAACTGTGTGTAACTGTATCTGTAACAGTTTGTAACTGTATCTGTAACAGTGTGTAACTGTATCTGTTTCTGTTTAACTGTATCTGTGTAACTATCTGTAACAGTGTGTAACTGTATCTGTGTAACTAACTGTATCTGTGTAACTATCTGTAACAGTGTGTAACTGTATCTGTAACAGTTTGTAACTGTATCTGTAACAGTATGTAACTGTATCTGTAACTGTATCTGTGTAACTATCTGTAACAGTGTGTAACTGTATCTGTAACAGTTTGTAACTGTATCTGTAACAGTGTGTAACTGTATCTGTAACAGTGTGTAACTGTATCTGTGTAACTGTATCTGTGTAACTATCTGTAACAGTAACTATCTGTAACTGAATGAATAAAAATTTTAAAAAACAAAACAACCTATCTGTATCTGTATATATAACTGTATCTGTAACTGTAACTATCTGTAACAGTGAGTAACAGTATATATAACTGTATCTGTAACAGTGTGTAACTGTATCTCTGACAGTGTGTAAGTAGTTGTGATTGTGTTGAAGTGTGTCTTGGAGTGTGTGCCTACCAGTTCTACATTGTAACAGTTTTGCCTACCAGTTCTACATTGTAACAGTGTGTGCCTACCAGTTCTACATCGATCATTTCACATTCCCACTCCTGCAGGTCTGCGTCGATGGCAGAGTCGCGGGAGTGGTTGTGTCCGATGGAGTTGAGCTGCCCCTTCCCTGCTTCCCGCTCCACCACAGCCTCGTACTTGTCCCTGAGTAACAGCACAGCATTAGTATTCCGGTGACAAATTACTGACAATTACTGCATCAGTCATTGCCATTCTTAATTGATGTCTTGCTGTGTTTTACACACAGTTTGCTTAATCATAGTAAATCGTAGTGTAACAGTGCATCTAGACTGTTACATGGCTAATGTACCCTGTCAGCTCAAATATATCTTTGTAAAACCTGAAAAGAATCTGCGTCCTTCACGATAAGTAGTTTCCAGGTGCCTGCAGACTTTACCCGTACCACTCCCCAAGTTACCAGACAAACCAGCTTTAGTAACAAGGAGACCACTGTCGTCCCAAGATAACACACAGACAAGCTTTAGGAACAAGGAAACCACTGTCGTCACCAGTTAACACAGACAAGCTTTAGTAACAAGGAAACCACTGTCGTCCCCAGATAACACACAGGCAAGCTGTAGTAACAAGGAAACCACTGTCGTCCCCAGATAACACACAGGCAAGCTGCAGTAACAAGGTGACCACTGTCTGTCCCAGATAACACAGATATGCTTTAGTAACAAGGTGACCACTGTCGTCACCAGATAACACACAGACAAGCTTTAGTAACAAGGAAACCACTGTCGTCACCAGTTAACACAGACAAGCTTTAGTAACAAGGAAACCACTGTCGTCCCCAGATAACACACAGACAAGCTTTAGTAACAAGGAAACCACTGTCGTCCCCAGATAACACAGACAAGCTGTAGTAACAAGGTGACCACTGTCGTCCCAAGATAACACACAGACAAGCTTTAGTAACAAGGTGACCACTGTCGTCCCAAGATAACACAGACAAGCTTTAGTAACAAGGTGACCACTGTCGTCCCCAGATAACACACAGACAAGCTTTAGTAACAAGGTGACCACTATCGTCCCCAGATAACACACAGACAAGCTTTAGTAACAAGGTGACCACTGTCGTCCCAAGATAACACAGACAAGCTTAAGTAACAAGGTGACCACTGTCGTCCCAAGATAACACACAGACAAGCTTTAGTAACAAGGTGACCACTGTCGTCCCCAGATAACACACAGACAAGCTTTAGTAACAAGGTGACCACTGTCTGTCCCCAGATAACACACAGACAAGCTTTAGTAACAAGGTGACCACTGTCGTCCCCAGATAACACACAGACAAGCTGTAGTAACAAGGTGACCACTGTCGTCCCAAGATAACACAGACAAGCTTTAGTAACAAGGTGACCACTGGTCCCCAGACAGACAAGCTTTAGTAACAAGGTCCTCGTCCCAAGATAACACACCAGAAAATAACACACAGACAAGCTTTAGTAACAAGGTGACCACTGTTGTCCCAATAATAACACAGACAAGCTTTAGTAACACAGACAAGCTTTAGTAACAAGGTGACCACCACTGTCGTCCCAAGATAACACAGACAAGCTTTAGTAACAAGGTGACCACAGACAAGCTTTAGTCCCAAGATACACACAGGACAAGCTTTAGTAACAAAGAGACCACTGTCGTCCCCAGATACACACAGACAAGCTTTAGTAACAAGGTGACCACTGTCGTCCCCAGATACACACAGACAAGCTGTAGTAACAAGGTGACCACTGTCGTCCCAAGATAACACACAGACAAGCTTTAGTAACAAGGTGACCACTGTCATCCCCAGATAACACACAGACAAGCTTTAGTAACAAGGAGACCACTGTCGTCCCAAGATAACACACAGACAAGCTTTAGTAACAAGGTGACCACTGTTGTCCCCAGATAACACAGACAAGCTTTAGTAACAAGGTGACCACTGTCGTCCCCAGATAACACACAGACAAGCTTTAGTAACAAGGAAACCACTGTCGTCCCCAGATAACACAGACAAGCTTTAGTAACAAGGTGACCACTGTCGTCCCAAGATAAACACAGACAAGCTTTAGTAACAAGGAAACCACTGTCGTCCCAAGATAACACACAGACAAGCTTTAGTAACAAGGAAACCACTGTCTGTCCCAGATAACACAGACAAGCTTTAGTAACAAGGTGACCACTGTCAGTCCCAGATAGATAACACAGACAAGCTTTAGTAACAAGGTGACCACTGTCTGTCCCCTAACACACAGACAAGCTTTAGTAACAAGGTGACCACTGTCGTCCCAGATAACACACAGACAAGCTTTAGTAACAAGGTGACCACTGTCGTCCCAAGATAACACACAGACAAGCTTTAGTAACAAGGTGACCACTGTCGTCCCAAGATAACACACAGACAAGCTTTAGTAACAAGAAGACCACTGTCGTCCCCAAGATAACACAGACAAGCTTTAGTAACAAGAAGACCACTGTCGTCCCCAGATAACACAGACAAGCTTTAGTAACAAGGTGACCACTGTCGTCCACAGATAACACAGACAAGCTTTAGTAACAAGAAACCACTGTCTGTCCCAAGATAACACACAGACAAGCTTTAGTAACAAGGAGACCACTGTCGTCCCCAGATAACACACAGACAAGCTTTAGTAACAAGAAGACCACTGTCGTCCCAGATAACACACAGACAAGCTTTAGTAACAAGAAGACCACTGTCGTCCCCAGATAACACACAGACAAGCTTTAGTAACAAGGTGACCACTGTCGTCCCCAGATAACACAGACAAGCTTTAGTAACAAGGTGACCACTGTCGCCCCATATCCCAAGATAACACACAGACAAGCTTTAGTAACAAGGTGACCACTGTCGTCCCAAGATAACACAGACAAGCTTTAGTAACAAGGTGACCACTGTCGTCCCCAGATAACACACAGACAAGCTTTAGTAACAAGGTGACCACTGTCGTCCCCAAGATACACACAGACAAGCTTTAGTAACAAGGTGACCAATGTAGATCCCCAGATAACACACAGACAAGCTTTAGTAACAAGGAAGACCACTGTAACAAGATCCCCAGATAACACACAGACAAGCTTTAGTAACAAGGTGACCACTGTCGTCCCCAGATAACACAGACAAGCTTTAGTAACAAGGTGACCACTGTCGTCCCCAGATAACACACAGACAAGCTTTAGTAACAAGGTGACCACTGTCGTCCCCAGATAACACACAGACAAGCTTTAGTAACAAGGTGACCACTGTCAGATAACACACCAAGCAGAGTAACACAGACAAGCTGTAGTAACAAGGTGACCACTGTCGTCCCAAGATAACACACAGACAAGCTTTAGTAACAAGGTGACCACTGTCGTCCCCAGATAACACACAGACAAGCTGTAGTAACAAGGTGACCACTGTCGTCCCAAGATAACACACAGACAAGCTTTAGTAACAAGGTGACCACTGTCCGTCCCAGATAACACAGACAAGCTGTAGTAACAAGGAGACCACTGTCGTCCCAAGATAACACACAGACAAGCTTTAGTAACAAGGTGACCACTGCGTCCCCAGTCCCCAGAGCCGTCCCCAGACAACACAGACAAGCTTTAGTAACAAGGTGACCACTGTCGTCCCCAGATAACACAGACAAGCTTTAGTAACAAGGAAACCATCGTTGTCCACAGGTAACACAGACAAGCTGTAGTAACAAGGTGACCACTGTCGTCCCCAGATAACACAGACAAGCTTTAGTAACAAGGAAACCACTGTCTGTCCCCAGATAACACACAGACAAGCTGTAGTAACAAGGAAACCACTGTCTGTCCCAGATAACACACAGACAAGCTTTAGTAACAAGGTGACCACTGTCGTCCCCAGATAACACACAGACAAGCTTTAGTAACAAGGAAACCACTGTCTGTCCCAGATAACACACAGACAAGCTTTAGTAACAAGGTGACCACTGTCGTCCCCAGATAACACACAGACAAGCTTTAGTAACAAGGAGTAACCACTGTCTGTCCCAGATAACACACAGACAAGCTGTAGTAACAAGGAAACCACTGTCGTCCCCAGATAACACACAGACAAGCTTTAGTAACAAGGTGACCACTGTCGTCCCCAGATAACACACAGACAAGCTTTAGTAACAAGGTGACCACTGTCGCTCCCCAGATAACACACAGACAACACAGATAACACAGACAAGCTTTAGTAACAAGGTGACCACTGTCGTCCCCAGATAACACACAGACAAGCTGTAGTAACAAGGAAACCACTGTAGTCCCGTCCCAAGGTGACCAAGATAACACACAGACAAGCTGTAGTAACAAGGTGACCACTGTCGTCCCCAGATAACACACAGACAAGCTGTAGTAACAAGGAAACCACTGTCGTCCCCAAGATAACACACAGACAAGCTTTAGTAACAAGGTGACCACTGTCGTCCCCAGATAACACACAGACAAGCTGTAGTAACAAGGAAACCACTGTCGTCCCCAAGATAACACACAGACAAGCTGTAGTAACAAGGTGACCACTGTCGTCCCCAGATAACACACAGACAAGCTTTAGTAACAAGGAAACCACTGTCGTCCCAAGATACCACACAGACAAGCTGTAGTAACAAGGTGACCACTGTCGTCCCCAGATAACACACAGACAAGCTGTAGTAACAAGGAAACCACTGTCGTCCCAAGATAACACACAGACAAGCTTTTGTAACAAGGTGACCTCTGTCGTCCCAAGATAACACACAGACACGCTTTAGTAACAAGGAGATGAGTATCTGTCCCTAGAAAACAGCCAGAAACCTTAATAATTTGCCATTACAATGAAACAAACATGAAACGAAGAAATCAAAACATATTCACAACATCTAGTTCACTTCAGTCAGAAAGTAAGTTAGTTTTCACCGCTTTTAGCAATATTCCAGCAAGATCATGGCGGGGGACACCAGAAATGGGCTTTACACATTGTCTCCATATTGGGAACCGAACCCGTGTCTTCGACGTGAGGAGTAAATGCTTTAACAACTAGACTACCCCAGCGCCCACTAGCCTACATGATATGAAAGGTATTTCTACTTACATGAATGATATTTTATCAATTTTCAAGGCTGCAACCACTAACATGTCTCCTACCATCATTGTACAGTGATGACACACAACTACCTAAACATTCCCCACGGTAACACATGACTACCTAAACAATTCCCCACGGTGACACATGACTACCTAAACATTCCCAAAGGTGACACATGACTACCTAAACGTTCCCCAAGGTGACACATGACTACCTAAACATTCCCCACGGTGACACATGACTACCTAAACATTCCCCATGTGACATGACTACCAAAATGTTCCCCACGGGAACACATGACTACCTAAACATTCCCCACGGTGACACATGACTACCTAAACATTCCCCACGGTGACACATGACTACCAAAATGTTCCCCACGGGAACACATGACTACCACGTAAACATTCCCCACGGGGACACAACTACCTAAACATTCTCCACGGGAACACATGACTACCTAAATGTTCCCCACGGTGACACATGACTACCTAAACATTCTCCATGGGAACACACGATTACATAAACGTTCCCAACGGGGACACATACCTACATAAACGTTTTCCATGGGAACACATGACAACCCAAACTTTCCCCACAGGGGCACATGACAACGTAAACATTCCCCACCGTGACACATGACTACCTAAACGTTCCCCATGGGGAGATAAACAAATCTGTCTGACTAAATTCTCAATTCATATGATTTAATTGAAGCCACAGTAGTTAGGGGGAAGATATTTTGTACGAACTAGTGAAGAATCTCCCTCCACACAGATCTATCAGCACACTCATGTTATGTAAGAGACGTGACCACAGCCAACTGGCAGCTTGTCATACTGCTTACTGAACCATGACCTTTGTTCAATCACAGAGTGTACACAGTTTCACACACTAACCTGGTGAAGCCAGGCTTCATGGGAACAGCTGGGGCAAAATGTACTCAAGCTTTAGCTTTTATTCATATTAAATATTTCAAAGGATTAAACTCTGACAGGCCTCGGTTGACTGCTGGTGCAATGTTTGTCGTGACTATATGTCACACCTGGGAGCTCCCACCTCAGCTTATCTGTCTGTGGACAGTCAGTACGTCTAGAGTGCACCTGGCAATCAGCAGTACACCTACCAAAACACTAAACGCAAGTACTACAAATAGTGGCATGGGCACATTAACACACTTGGAGTCAGCAGTCATTATGCGACTCTCACTGACACTTAGATTTGTAAGTTTGGGGCCTTGACAAATACCCCTCAACAAACTACTCAAACTGCCACGATTAGCTTTATTGAATGGACCATGAATACTGGTAATATCATGCAAAAAGTTGACAAATGAGCGAACCGTCAATAAAGACTTGTCCACTGAATGAGATTATAGTTCAAACAGGTTGCAGGAAAATACAGACTTCACCAACACTGTAAAAGGTTGCAACAATCCAGCTTATGTTATCTGCTATATATATGCTGGGTTGGAGGAATACCAGCACACAACCAGGCAATAAGTGCAGTGTAATTAACAAGGTCATAACAACACAACCCATGTTTCAGATAAGACAGACAGTGAGGTTCCTGATAAAGGACACCACGGTTCACTGTGCTGGCAGCACTACCTGCCTTCCACAAACACACCTGGAACACCGGAATAGGCTAACACAAAGACACCTTGAACACCGGAATAGGCTAACACAAACACACCTGGAACACCGGAATAGGCTAACACAAACACCTGGAACACTGGAATAGGAACACCTGGAACACCGGAATAGGCACAACACAAACACACCTGGAACACTGGAATAGGCAACACAAAACAACCTGGAACACTGGAATAGGGCTAACACAAACACACCTGGAACACTGGAATAGGCTAACACAAACACACCTGGAACACGGAATAGGGAATAGGCTAACACAAACACACCTGGAACACTGGAATAGGCTAACACAAACACACCTGGAACACTGGAATAGGCTAACACAAACACACCTGGAACACTGGAATAGGCTAACACAAACACACCTGGAACACTGGAATAGGCTAACACAAACACACCTGGAACACCGGAATAGGCTAACACACACACCTGGAACACAGGCTAACACAAACACACCTGGAACACTGGAATAGGCTAACACATACACACCTTGAACACTGGAATAGGCCAACACAAAGACACCTGGAACACTGGAATAGGCTAACGCAAACACACCTGGAACACTGGAATAGGCTAACACAAACACACCTGGAACACCGGAATAGGCTAACACAAATACATACCCACAATGGAAAGTTGTTGCATTAGACACATTTAGTGTCTTGAGAAATGATACAACAACAGCATATTGTGGCATATCTAAATTTGTTTCTGTAAGCCATGACCTCTTTTCATGTTCTCGTTACAGATATAATTCTTAAAGGTAATGAATGATAACAGAACAGCCAGCAAAATGTGTTGAATTATGGGTATCTTTGTGACCTGAATGAATCAATGAATGAAGTATTCAATTCAAGTCTTTGGGTCTGCATTAATATCAAATATAAAGTTAATTGTCAGTTTCAATCTGGACACAAGTGCTGCAGGTGTCAGATGTTAATCACTGTAGAGAAACCCATTGACACATGGATGGTGCAGACAAACACTGTATCAAGGCCAAGCTGGATTCAATCATACAGCCATTCTCAACCAACATCATGGCATCACATTAATCCAACTGACCAATCAGCACTGACAATAACTAAACGGCACATGTGCAAATATCAAAGTTTTCGTATCATTTCTGGTTATGTTGAACAAGAAACATATAACTATTCTAAGACAATATTTGGAAGCAAACAATACAATCGTGAGTATATTCTGCAGGCATTTAATGTTGGATGGCATATATACCGAAATATACGTCATCCAACATTAACTTGACACTAGAATATTGTCACAGAAGAAAAGACTTACTAAGATGAGTGTATCATATTAATTCAGGTCGTGATATTTATTTACTAAAACGCATACTTACTTCATTTCCTTGAGTTCCTTAAATGCTTCATTTTTCTGTTTTTTCAACTCATCCGAGTCTCGGAGGGCCTGAGCTAAGTCGGACACCGCACGGTCCCGCTCACGACGCAGGTTGTCACAAAGTGTGCGGATACTCTCTGGCTCCTGCACAATCTTGTCACGTTCGCCAAATGCCCAATCACGTCGCTTCTTAGCTATCTCAGCTTCCTGGGCAGCATCTGATGGGACAAGAGTGATGATACTTTAGTAAGGAGAATCATGCGTTTTGGGTGGAATAAGCTCTGACAGTTGCTGACAGATCATCATAAAGTCACACATATTCTTCTTGCTTTCGGGTAAAGGCTGGAGGACACTTCAGACTCTTTTAAAACTGGACAGAGCAATTTCATAATTCTGAAAATTTATGATCAAATTCATCAACTGAATGTAGTGTGCTTGATGGTCAGGTGTTGGAAAGTGAAAACAGTGGTGGCCATGCAACCTTCTCTTGATCATGTGACCCAGTGAAAACATGTATACCCATGTTCAGGGCCACTTAGTATAACTGTCATCCACACGTCTGTGTATACACAATGAGGGCCACTTAGTGTAATCATACACAATGAGGGCCACTTAGTGTAACTGTCATCCACACGTCTGTGTATACCCAATGAGGGCCACTTGGTATAACTGTCATCCACACGTCTGTGTATACACAATGAGGGCCACATAGTGTAACTGTTATCTAAACATGTTTCTGTATACACAATGGTGGCCACTTAGTGTAACTATTATCTAAACATGTAAATATACCCAATGAGGACCACTTACTACTTAGTGTAACTGTTATCTAAAGATGTATCTGTATACACAATGAGGGCCACTTAGTTTAACTGTTATCTAAACATGTATCTGTATACACAATGAGGGCCACTTAGTGTAATCTGCTATCTAAACATGTATCTGTATACACAATGAGGGTCACTTAGTGTAACTGTTATCTAAACATGTATCTGCATACACAATGAGGGCCACTTAGTGTAACTGTTATCTAAACATGTATCTGTATACACAATGAGGGCCACTTACTTTAACTGTTATCTAAACATGTATATGCATACACAATGGGGGCCACTTAGTGTAACTGTTATCTAAACATGTATCTCTATACCCATTGAGGGCCACTTAGTGTAACTGCTATCTACACATGTATCACAATGAGGGCCACTTAGTTTAACTGTTATCTAAACATGTATCTGTATACACAATGAGGGCCACTTAGTGTAACTGTTATCTAAACATGTATCTGTATACACAATGAGGGCCACTTAGTGTAACTGTTATCTAAACATGTATCTGTATACACAATGAGGGCCACTTAGTGTAACTGTTATCTAAACATGTATCTGTATACACAATGAGGGCCACTTAGTTTTAACTGTTATCTACACATGTATCTGTATACCCAATGAGGGCCACTTAGTGTAACTGCTATCTACACATGTATCTGTATACCCAATGAGGGTCACTTAGTTTAACTGTTATCTATACATGTATCTGTATACCCAATGAGAGCCACTTAGTGTAACTGTTATCTAAACATGTATCTGTATACACAATGAGGGCCACTTCAGTGTAACTGTTATCTAAACATGTATCTGTATGCACAATGAGGGGCACTTAGTTTTACTGTTATCTAAACATGTATCTGTATACACAATGTGGGCCACTTACTTTAACTGTTATCTAAACACGTATCTGTATACACAATGAGGGCCACTCAGTGTAATCTGCTATCTAAACATGTATCTATATACACAATGAGGGCCACTTAGTGTCACTGTTATCTAAACATGTATCTGTATACACAATGAGGGCCACTTTCTTTAACTGTTATCTACACATGTATCTGTATACACAATGAGGGGCCACTTAGTGTAACTGTTATCTAAACATGTATCTGTATACCCAATGAGGGCCACTTAGTGTAACTGCTATCTACACATGTATCTGTATACCCAATGAGGGCCACTTAGTGTAACTGTTATCTAAACATGTTTCTGTATACATAATGAGGGCCACTTAGTTTAACTGTTATCTAAACATGTATCTGTATACCCAATGAGGGCCACTTAGTGTAACTGTTATCTAAACATGTATCTGTATACACAATGAGGGGCCACTTAGTTTAACTGTTATCTAAACATGTATCTGTATACACAATGAGGGCCACTTAGTATAACTGTTATCTAAACATGTATCTGTATACACAATGAGTGCCACTCAGATTAACTGCTATCTAAACATGTATCTGTATACACAATGAGAGCCACTTAGTGTAACTGTTATCTAAACATGTATCTGTATACACAATGAGGGCCACTTAGTGTAACTGTTATCTAAACATGTATCTGTATACACAATGAGGGGCCACTCAGTGTAACTGTTATCTAAACATGTATCTGTATGCACAATGAGGGGCCACATAGTTTTACTGTTATCTAAACATGTATCTGTATACACAATGGTGGCCACTTAGTGTAACTGTTATCTAAACATGTAACTGTATACCCAATGAGGGCCTACTTAGTGTAACTGTTATCTAAAGATGTATCTGTATACACAATGAGGGCCACTTTGTTTAACTGTTATCTAAACATGTATCTGTATACACAATGAGGGCCACTTAGTGTAACTTATCTAAACATGTATCTGTATACACAATGAGGGCCACTTAGTGTAACTGTTATCTAAACATGTATCTGTATACACAATGAGGGCCACTTAGCTTAACTGTTATCTAAACATGTATCTGTATACACAATGAGGGCCACTTAGTGTAATCTGCTATCTAAACATGTATCTGTATACACAATGAGGGCCACTTAGTGTAACTGTTATCTAAACATGTATCTGTATACACAATGAGGGCCACTTAGTGTAACTGTTATCTAAACATGTATCTGTATACACAATGAGGGCCACTTACTTTAACTGTTATCTAAACATGTATATGCATACACAATGGGGGCCACTTAGTGTAACTGTTATCTAAACATGTATCTGTATACCCAATGAGGGCCACTTAGTGTAACTGTTATCTAAACATGTATCTGTATACATAATGTGGGCCACTTAGTTTAACTGTTATCTAAACATGTATCTGTATACACAATGAGGGCCACTTAGTGTAACTGTTATCTAAACATGTATCTGTATACACAATGAGGGCCACTCAGTGTAACTGCTATCTACACATGTATCTGTATACCCAATGAGGGCCACTTAGTGTAACTGTTATCTAAACATGTATCTGTATACACAATGAGGGCCACTTAGTGTAACTGTTATCTAAACACGTATCTGTATACACAATGAGGGCCACTCAGTGTAACTGTTATCTAAACATGTATCTGTATGCACAATGAGGGGCACTTAGTTTTACTGTTATCTAAACATGTATCTGTATACACAATGAGGGCCACTTAGTGTAACTGTTATCTAAACATGTATCTGTATACACAATGAGGGCCACTTACTTTAACTGTTATCTAAACATGTATATGCATACACAATGGGGGCCACTTAGTGTAATCTGCTATCTAAACATGTATCTGTATACACAATGGGGGCCACTTAGTGTAATCTGCTATCTAAACATGTATCTGTATACACAATGAGGGCCACTTTGTTTAACTGTTATCTAAACATGTATCTGTATGCACAATGAGGGGCACTTAGTTTTACTGTTATCTAAACATGTAACTGTATACACAATGGTGGCCACTTAGTGTAACTATTATCTAAACATGTAACTGTATGCCCAATGAGGACCACTTACTCCTTAGTGTAACTGTTATCTAAAGATGTATCTGTATACACAATGAGGGCCACTTAGTTTAACTGTTATCTAAACATGTATCTGTATACACAATGAGGGCCACTTAGTGTAATCTGCTATCTAAACATGTATCTGTATACACAATGAGGGTCACTTAGTGTAACTATTATCTAAACATGTATCTGCATACACAATGAGGGCCACTTACTTTAACTGTTATCTAAACATGTATATGCATACACAATGGGGGCCACTTAGTGTAATCTGCTATCTAAACATGTATCTGTATACACAATGGGGGCCACTTAGTGTAATCTGTTATCTAAACATGTATCTGTATACACAATGAGGGCCACTTTGTTTAACTGTTATCTAAACATGTATCTGTATACACAATGAGGGCCACTTAGTTTAACTGTTATCTAAACATGTATCTGTATACACAATGAGGGCCACTTAGTGTAACTGTTATCTAAACATGTATCTGTATACCCAATGAGGGCCACTCAGTGTAACTTATCTGCACATGTATCTGTATACACAATGAGTGCCACTCAGATTAACTGCTATCTAAACATGTATCTGTATACACAATGAGGGCCACTTAGTGTAACTGTTATCTAAACACGTATCTGTATACACAATGAGGGCCACTCAGTGTAACTGTTATCTAAACATGTATCTGTATGCACAATGAGGGGCACTTAGTTTTACTGTTATCTAAACATGTATCTGCATACACAATGAGGGCCACTTAGTGTAACTGTTATCTAAACATGTATCTGCATACACAATGAGAGCCACTTACTTTAACTGTTATCTAAACATGTATATGCATACACAATGGGGCCACTTAGTGTAATCTGCTATCTAAACATGTATCTGTATACACAATTGGGGCCACTTAGTGTAATCTGTTATCTAAACATGTATCTGTATACACAATGAGGGCCACTTTGTTTAACTGTTATCTAAACATGTATCTGTTTGCACAATGAGGGGCACTTAGTTTTACTGTTATCTAAACATGTAACTGTATACACAATGGTGGCCACTTAGTGTAACTATTATCTAAACATGTAACTGTATGCCCAATGAGGACCACTTACTCCTTAGTGTAACTGTTATCTAAAGATGTATCTGTAAACACAATGAGGGCCACTTTGTTTAACTGTTATCTAAACATGTATCTGTATACACAATGAGGGCCACTTTTAGTGTAATCTGCTATCTAAACATGTATCTGTATACACAATGAGGGTCACTTAGTGTAACTGTTATCTAAACATGTATCTGTATACACAATGAGGGGCCACTTTAGCTTAACTGTTATCTAAACATGTATATGCATACACAATGGGGCCACTTAGTGTAATCTGTATCTAAACATGTATCTGTATACACAATGGGGCCACTTAGTGTAATCTGCTATCTAAACATGTATCTGTATACACAATGAGGGCCACTTTGTTTAACTGTTATCTAAACATGTATCTGTATACACAATGAGGGCCACTTACTTTAACTGTTATCTAAACATGTATCTGTATACACAATGAGGGCCACTTAGTGTAACTGTTATCTAAACATGTATCTGTATACACAATGAGGGCCACTTAGTGTCACTGCTATCTACACATGTATCTGTATACACAATGAGGGCCACTCAGTGTAACTGTTATGTAAACATGTATCTGTATACACAATGAGGGCCACTTAGTGTCACTGCTATCTACACATGTATCTGTATACACAATGAGGGCCACTTTAACTGTTATCTAAACATGTATCTGTATACACAATGAGGGCCACTCAGTGTAACTTATGTACACATGTATCTGTATACACAATGAGGGCCACTTTGTTTAACTGTTATCTAAACATGTATCTGTATACACAATGAGGGCCACTTTGTTTAACTGTTATCTAAACATGTATCTGTATACCCAATGAGGGCCACTTAGTGTAACTTATCTAAACATATATCTGTATACACAATGAGGGCCACTCAGTGTAACTGTTATCTAAACATGTATCTGTATACACAATGAGGGCCACTTAGTGTAACTGCTATCTACACATGTATCTGTATACCCAATGAGGGCCACTTAGTGTAACTGTTATCTAAACATGTATCTGTATACCCAATGAGGGCCACTTAGTGTAACTGTTATCTAAACATGTATCTGTATACCCAATGAGGGCCACTTAGTGTAACTGTTATCTAAACATGTATCTGTATACCCAATGAGGGGCCTTAGTATAACTGTTATCTAAACATGTTTCTGTATACACAATGAGGGTTAGTGTAACTGTTATCTAAACATGTATCTGTATACCCAATGAGGGCCACTTAGTGTAACTGTTATCTAAACACATCTGTATACCCAATGATCACTTAGTGTAACTGTTATCTAAACATGTATCTGTATACCCAATGAGGGCCACTTAGTGTAACTGTTATCTAAACATGTATCTGTATACCCAATGAGGGCCACTTAGTGTAACTGTTATCTAAACATGTATCTGTATACACAATGAGGGCCACTTAGTGTAACTGTTATCTAAACATGTATCTGTATACACAATGAGGGCCACTCAGTGTAACTGTTATCTAAACATGTATCTGTATACACAATGAGGGCCACTTAGTTTAACTGTTATCTAAACATGTATCTGTATACACAATGTGGGCCACTTAGTTTTAACTGTTATCTAAACATGTATCTGTATACACAATGAGGGCCACTTAGTGTAACTGTTATCTAAACATGTATCTGTATACACAATGAGGGAGTGTAACTGCTATCTAAACATGTAGTATACACTGAGCCACTTAGTGTCTATCTAAACATGTATCTATATACACAATGAGGGCCACTTAGTGTCACTGCTATCTACACATGTATCTGTATACACAATGAGGGCCACTTAGTTTAACTGTTATCTAAACATGTATCTGTATACCCAATGAGGGCCACTTAGTGTAACTGTTATCTAAACATGTATCTGTATACACAATGAGGGCCACTTAGTTTGACTGTTATCTACACATGTATCTGTATACATAATGAGGGCCACTCAGTGTAACTGTTATCTACACATATCTGTGTACACAATGAGTGAGTGAATGTGTTTAGGTTTACGCCGCACTCAGCAATATTCAAGCTATATGGCGGAGGGCTGTAAATAATCAAGTCTGGACCAGACAATCAAGAGATCAACAGCATGAGCATTGATCTGCGCAACTCGGAACCGATGACACGTGTCAACCAAGTCAGCGAGCCTGTCCACCCGATCCCAGTAGTCGCCTCTTACGACAACATGGGTTACTGAAGATCAATATTCTAAACCGGATCTTCACGGGTGTATACACAATGAGGACCTCTCAGTGTAACTGTTATCTACATGTCTGTGTATGCACAAAGGTACCCTATAATTTCTTATTTCAACATCAGTGGATATTTCATCTGTTAAAATGTTCTGAAATGTCATGCATTAAGTACCCAGGGCTGGTATTGTGACACTGCATGTCTTGCCTACAGCACTGTATAGGGGCCATCAGGATGGCCGACCACGTTGAACACCTGTACAGTCATGGAGAATGGAGGTGGAGCACTGCCATTATGTAAACATGTCAAGCTGCCTTTCACACGCTACATGAAGAAGTGCATGCTTGTCAGTGCCTCACTTAATGTGAGAATTATTACACACTCAAACTATCTGGGGGTAAGATCACACAGACGCTTGTTTCATGTTGATTTGTTGAAATGTTTATGGTATCTTCAGTACTTAAGGCGTGTGCTGGAGTTAGGACATCAGGCCCAGTATCAAATCTGGTGACAAAAGCTGTTTTCATAAATCCTTTAAATAACAACAAGGGGTAGGCACTATCAGCTAAATCAAAACTATACTGAATTCCAGTCTGTAACTTAAACAAGAATAAGCAGTACAGGTCACACATCAGTTGAAGCAACATTGGTCACAGAGAGTTGCTGGATAGGTGACCGTGTTTGGTAGCTCGACTCCTGAGACTTTCTAGGACTTCACGAACGAAGCACACGTGACATATGTGGTCCCACCTTAAACAATGTTAAACAACTGATTTTGTTCATAATATGAATCTCTTCACCCAGCAGTCAATGGGTACCTGGCGGTATGAGATGGTCATTAGATAGATGCTAACTTTCTAGCACCTCACAGGCAGCTTGGGTTGTACACCGATCCACTAACCAGGTAATAATGTAAGCTCTATACAAAGGTATAATATACCCATAAGTTTAGTTGGCAACAGTCCATGTAGAAATTAAGATTTACTGGAGTGAGTGAGTGAGTGAGTGAGTGAGTGAGTGAGTGAGTGAGTGAGTGAGTGAGTGAGTGAGTGAGTGAGTGAGTGAGTGAGTGAGTGAGTGAGTGAGTGAGTGAGTGAGTGAGTGAGTGAGTGAGTGAGTGAGTGAGTGAGTGAGTGAGTGAGTGAGTTTAGTTTTACGCCGCACTCAGCAATTTTCCAGCTACATGGCGGCAGTCTGTAAATAATCAAGTCTGGACCAGACAATCCAGTGATCAACAGCATGAGCATCGATCTGCGCAAAATGGGAACCGATGACATGTGTCAACCAAGCCAGCGAGCCTGACCACCTGATCCCGTTAGTCGCCTCTTACGACAAGCATGGGTTACTGAAGGCCAATTCTAACCCGGACCTTCACGGGTCAGATTTACTGGTAAGTATGTCATGTAGACAGCAATGTAGACACACATTGTTGCAGAAGGGTTCTAGTTGTTTGGCTACAGTTTGTGACAACTACTTCAAAAATGCTAAATCATGAAAGAGTAATTAGTGTGTTTGAAAATGCATGTGCATCTGCAAGTGAAAGTTTGTGTGACCAGATTGGTACTCAATAATGAGGTGGGTACACGGTATATAGTGTTTTCATGCGAGGGCCAGTGTAGAGAGGGCACTGGGAAGTGGGGTGGATACTGTGTGACTATTCCTGCAGGTAGCTGACATGACCGAAACATGTGCAAGTCTAGTCAGCATGGTTTCTGGGAACAACAAGGAGCAGGTAGACATGCCCTGGTGACTTGCCAGGTACCCAGTGCCAGGTAACCCTGGGTGTTGTACCTGATCATTGAGCACAGGGTCAGTGAACTGTGAACAGTGCATGAGTAACAGACAGCGTTGTAAATAGTGGGGGCCTGCTGGCAATTCAGCATGTTCAGGCACTTCTACACTATGTTCAGTTGACACAGTCTCAGGACCATCTAAACACTTTCAATGTAATGCTCATATGTCTGTTTATTAACCATTATTAGAACATTGCCTTATGTACAGACAAGCATCCCATGAGTTTCATCCCTGAGTCTTTAAACCCTGTTTAAAGATGGCTACCAACAATCTTAAGTCATATCATAACAATGTGACCGTTCAGAATTATACCACAGTCACTAGTGGGGAACCAACCAATCAATTAACAGATGAAACTTCAATCTTGGCATTCAAAACAATTATCAGTTGAAAAAATTACTAATCTATGTTGGGTGAAATTCTTGTCTCCTGGTTTACCTGGAAACAGTAACAGCAAAATTTGTCATGGCCATGGCCATATCTGAGACTTCCTTCTAAGCAGTGTATCATATGGACCTGTCGTCTCTCGTCGTTCCTGCTAAGCAGTGTATCATATGGACCTGTCGTCTCTCGTCGTTCCTTCTAAGCAGTGTATCATATGGACCTGTCGTCTCTCGTCATTCCTTCTAAGCAGTGTATCATATGGACCTGTCGTCTCTCGTCGTTCCTTCTAAGCAGTGTATCATATGGACCTGTCGTCTCTCGTCGTTCCTTCTAAGCAGTGTATCATATGGACCTGTCGTCTCTCGTCGTTCCTTCTAAGCAGTGTATCATATGGACCTGTCGGACGTCGTTCGCTTCTTAGCAGTGTATCATATGGACCTGTCGCCTCTCGCAGTGTATCATATGGGTTCCTTCTAAGCAGTGTATCATATGGACCTGTCGTCTCTCGCCGCTCCTTCTTAGCAGTGTATCATATGGACCTGTCGCCTCTCGTCGTTCCTTCTAAGCAGTGTATCATATGGACCTGTCGCCTCTCGTCGTTCCTTCTAAGCAGAGTATCATATGGACCTGTCGTCTCTCGGTCGTTCCTTCTAAGCAGTGTATCATATGGACCTGCAGTGTCTCTCGATCTCGTTCCTTCTAAGCAGTGTATCATATGGACCTCGCCGTTCCTGCTAGCAGTGTATCATATGGACCTGTCGTTCCTTCTAAGCAGTGTATCATATGGACCTGTCGTCTCTCGTCGTTCCTTCTAAGCAGTGTATCATATGGACCTGTCGTCTCTCGTCGTTCCTTCTAAGCAGTGTATCATATGGACCTGTCGTCTCTCGTCGTTCCTTCTAAGCAGTGTATCATATGGACCTGTCGCGCTCTTCTAAGCAGTGTATCATATGGTTCCTTCTAAGCAGTGTATCATATGGACCTGTCGTCTCTCGTCGTTCCTTCTAAGCAGTGTATCATATGGACCTGTCGTCTCTCGTCGTTCCTTCTAAGCAGTGTATCATATGGACCTGTCGTCTCTCGTCGTTCCTTCTAAGCAGTGTATCATATGGACCTGTCGTCTCTCGTCGTTCCTTTTAAGCAGTGTATCATATGGACCTGTGTCGCCTCTAAGCAGTGTATCGTTCCTGCTAAGCAGTGTATCATATGGACCTGTCGCTCTCGTCGTTCCTTCTAAGCAGTGTATCATATGGACCTGTCTCTCTCGTTCCTTCTAAGCAGTGTATCATATGGACCTGTCGTCTCTCGTCGTTCCTTCTAAGCAGTGTATCATATGGACCTGTCGTCTCTCGTCGTTCCTTCTAAGCAGTGTATCATATGGACCTGTCGTCTCTCGTCGTTCCTTCTAAGCAGTGTATCATATGGACCTGTCGTCTCTCGTCGTTCCTTCTTAGCAGTGTATCATATGGACCTGTCGCCTCTCGCCGTTCCTTCTAAGCAGTGTATCATATGGACCTGTCGTCTCTCTCGCCGTTCCTTCTAAGCAGTGTATCATATGGACCTGTCGCCTCTCGCCGCTCCTTCTAAGCAGTGTATCATATGGACCTGTCGCTCTCGCCATTCCTTCTAAGCAGTGTATCATATGGACCTGTCGCCTCTCGGGCCGCTCCTTCTAAGCAGTGTATCATATGGACCTGTCGCCGTCGCCGCTCCTTCTAAGCAGTGTATCATATGGACCTGTCGTCTCTCGCCGTTCCTTCTAAGCAGTGTATCATATGGACCTGTCGCTCTCGCCGTTCCTTCTAAGCAGTGTATCATATGGACCTGTCGCTCTCTCGCCGCTCCTTCTAAGCAGTGTATCATATGGACCTGTAGTCTCTCGTCGTTCCTTCTAAGCAGTGTATCATATGGACCTGTCGTCTCTCGTCGTTCCTTCTAAGCAGTGTATCATATGGACCTGTCGTCTCTCGTCGTTCCTGCTAAGCAGTGTATCATATGGACCTGTGTCGCGTCTATCGCCGCTCCTTCTAAGCAGTGTATCATATGGACCTGTCGTCTCTCGCCGTTCCTGCTAAGCAGTGTATCATATGGACCTGTCGCTCTCTCGCCATTCCTTCTAAGCAGTGTATCATATGGACCTGTCGTCTCTCGTCGCTCCTTCTAAGCAGTGTATCATATGGACCTGTCGCCTCTCGCCGCTCCTGCTAAGCAGTGTATCATATGGACCTGTCGCCTCTCGCCGTCGTTCCTTCTAAGCAAGCAGTGTATCATATGGACCTGTCGCCTCTCGGCCGCCTTCCTTTTAAGCAGTGTATCATATGGACCTCGCCTCTCGCCGCTCCTTCTAAGCAGAGTATCATATGGACCTGTCGTCTCTCGTCGTTCCTTCTAAGCAGTGTATCATATGGACCTGTCGCTATCGCCGCTCCTGCTAAGCAGTGTATCATATGGACCTGTCGTCTCTCGTCGTTCCTTCTAAGCAGTGTATCATATGGACCTGTCGTCTCTCGTCGTTCCTTCTAAGCAGTGTATCATATGGACCTGTCGTCTCTCGTCGTTCCTTCTAAGCAGTGTATCATATGGACCTGTCGTCTCTCGTCGTTCCTTCTAAGCAGTGTATCATATGGACCTGTCGTCTCTCGTCGTTCCTTCTAAGCAGTGTATCATATGGATCTGTTGTCTCTCGTCTCATGATGAAAACAACTATGACTACAGTGAGTTAGTTATATAATCAGTGAGTAACCAGTAATAATAATAATCACTCCATTTACATTGCGCTAAATCAACACCAACATCATGCTCATAGCGCAGAAAAATATTACCCCGGATAACACAAGCTGCCTGTGAGGCGCTAGAAGGTTATGTTCACATGACAGTATTTTGGGTATGTTATAACTAACTTTGGGTGAAAGCTGATGCTAAAAACGAGTCGTCACTGATTTGAAAGATGGGTATTGACATATCGACTCAACAGTATCACAATATAATGACATATATCCATCAAACTTTCATATTTATATTGTATATAGATAACAGAATTCCACTTACATCTGCAATTAATCTACTTACTGCCAAGAAATGAAATACGCTCAGTATGTCCATCTAAACCATTGTACGGGTAATATTAATAATAAGTAATATTAATACACATTTCTGTGGCAGTGAAAAACAATTATTACTCACAAATTTGTATTGATCAAGTATTGACACAACAAATGTATTGGCAGTGAAAACAATGTGATCACATTCCTACCACAAATTTGTAGGTACTTCTACCTCACAATGTGATTCCTCAAGTATGTGACACAATGTGATCAAATGTATTGATACATCCACCTCACAATGTGATCACATTCCTACCAGTAGTTTGTTGTAGGTACTTCTACCTCACAATGTGATCACATTCCTACCAGCAGTTTGTCGTAGGTACTTCTACCTCACAATGTGATCACATACTGCTACCTCACAATATGATCACATTCCTACCAGCAGTTTGTCGTAGGTACTTCTACCTCACAATGTGATCACATTCCTACCTGCCGTATGTCGTAGGTACTTCTACCTCACAATGTGATCACATTCCTACCAGCAGTTTGTCGTAGGTACTTCTACTGTGATCACCTCTACAAGTTTGTCGTAGGATCACAATGTGATCCTACCAGTAGTTTGTCGTAGGTACTTCTACCTCACAATGTGATCACATTCCTACCAGTAGTTTGTAGAAGGGTGTGTACTTCACTACAGATAGTTTGTGTGTAGGTACTTCTACCTCACAATGATCACATTCCTACCTGCCGTCCTACCTGATGTCGTAATGGTACCAGCAGTTTGTCGTGAGGGTACTTCTACCTCACAATGTGATCACATTCCTACCAGTAGTTTGTCGTAGGTACTTCTACCTCACAATGTGATCACATTCCTACCAGTAGTTTGTCGTAGGTACTTCTACCTCACAATGTGATCACATTCCTACCAGTAGTTTGTCGTAGGTACTTCTACCTCACAATGTGATCACATTCCTACCTGCCGTATGTCGTAGGTACTTCTACCTCACAATGTGATCACATTCCTACCAGCAGTTTGTCGTAGGTACTTCTACCTCACAATGTGATCACATTCCTACCAGTAGTTTGTCGTAGGTACTTCTACCTCACAATGTGATCACATTCCTACCAGCAGTTTGTCAAAGGTACTTCTACCTCACAATGTGATCACATTCCTACCAGTAGTTTGTCGTAGGTACTTCTACCTCACAATGTGATCACACTCCTACCAGCAGTTTGTCAAAGGTACACCACACAATGAACAAGTCATGTAATATGTGTCAGTGCTGTTGGTGACAGTGATGTGTTCAAGAGTTTCCCCTTGTGTTCAAGAGTTTCCCCTTGTGACAAACATGTACATGGCAAGCTGGATCATTCAAGAAGTTTTAGGACAGTTTCAACAAGAGCAGCAAGAGGCCAACTTGAGACCTTTGGTGATTTTAACTTAAAAAACATGTGTTTACATATAATGCATTCATTGCACATTGATCTGGTGGTCTTGTATTCATTTCATAAGTTCATGCTTTGTGAAACAAATCTGGGTTAACCTCTACATTTCAACATTAGCAACTAACAACACACTTACCACTCAAGTCTTGCTTCAATTTTTCAATCTGCTTCTTCAGAGATTCCGTCTCCTTGGCAACATGATCCATCTCTTCTGCTTTCTTCTTCTGAGTGATTTCATAATTCTCCTTAATTATGTGGTCCATGCGCTCCAGAGCCTGGTGGCGCTCCTGGCGCGCAATATCACGTTCTTGAGTCAGCAGACTAAATTCCTTCTGAATCACATCCCGCTCTTGCTCCAGTTCATGTTTCATGCCTGATATATCATTGCACTCACGTCGACACTTGTCCCGGTCCTGCAGGGCGGAGGCAACTTCACGTTTCAGTGTTTCAACTTGGTCCTCCGCGCTCTTCTTGTCCTTCTCAAGCACAGTCACCTTCTTCGTCACATCCACGAGTTTGTCATGGAGCTGTTCAATTTCCTTATGCACTGTGTCCCGTTCAGACATGATCAGACGATATTCATTGTAACAGGCATCACGTTCATTCTGCAAACTCTCCTTCTCTTTCCTCAGACTTATTTGTTTGGCAAGTGCCTGGTTATAGTCTAACACATATTTATCTCGTTGTTGAGTCATAAATGCTAAAGATTCGTTCAATTGTTTCCTTTCATTCAGCACCTGGTTCCAATTTCGAATTGCAGATGTACACTGCTGTTTGAAGCCATTCCTGTCCGTTATAGCCATGTCTCGCTCAATGCGCATCTCCTCATACTTTTTCAGAACACTCTCATTTTCCTCTGACAGTTTTTCCAGACGGCTGTTGTTCGTGCCGTGGGATGATGCAACATCATCATACTGTTCACGGAGATGATCATAGTTGTTCTTCAGAGTCTCATACTTATCTAGCAGTGTGTCATACATCTCATTTAGCACCTCACTGGAACCACTTTCACTCAACACTTTACGATACTGGATGCGTAGCTCAGCAATTTCCTGTTTGTCTTCTTCACGTAATTTGTGTAAGTTGCCAACCTCCTGTTCCAGTTTCTGGCTTCTGCTCAATACATCCAAGTTCTCTGATTTCAGTGCATGTATTTCATCTGTCAGTTGTGTCTGCCTTGTGAGAGATGTCTTGTAAAGGTTACGGTAATGGTCAGCTTCCTTCGTAGCTTGGTCATACCGTGTGACCGTCTGAGCATGTTGGCCTTTCATGGACTGCAGTTCCTTGATTGCATGTTCACACTGTTCTTTGAGCCAGTCATAGTCACGTGACTTTTCCGACACCTTGATCTCCACAGGAGACTGTAGGCTGGGGTGAAGCGGACTCTGTGACAGTGTAGGGTAGCTGCTGCTGCTGCTCTCTATCTCATACTGACTGGAGGGAATGATCTTCAGGCGGGCATCTCGGATCTCCTGCGACCGACTTGGATCTGAATGGAAGCAGGTGGTATTGTCAATGAGAAAGTGTCACTTTAAGCTATGCCAAGAAAAGTTGGAGATAAGATATTGTACCACAGTGACAGACTTTAAGAAGAAGGAATTCTTGGATACTTAATGTTTCTTGATGCATTGTTTATTACTTGGGCATGCTCTGAAGATTTCTTGAGATAAATAAGGTTTACACATCTGCATCAGCAAACTCACCTATCTGGATGTGCTGGGAATGGCGTTGTACATCATCTTCGGAGTCGGAAGTCATTGATGTGGACCTGGAATCTACAATAAAAACGGCATTAGTGATTGGGTGACACCAACAACGGCCTTCACACTTTTACCAATCTGGGGAATCGAATGAGGGCTACCATCATGAAGAGCCAACACTGTATTCCACTAACTTACATACCAGGTTCATCTGGCATAAATTTTAGCAAGTAATTGATAATGTGAGAGTGTAGGGTGAAGAGGGGGCACCGAAAAAGGGCATCCCCCCGGTTCACTTATGGGGTGAGTGGTGAGTGAGTATGGCTTTATGCCGCTTTTAGCAATATTCCTGCAATATCACGGCAGGAGACACCAGAAATGGGCTTTGCACATTGTACCCATGTGGGAAATTGAACCCGGGTCTTCGGCGTGACGAGCGAACGCTTTAATCACTCGGCTACCCCGGCGCCCCTGGAGTGAACGGAACCCAGGCCATCTGTATGACAAGCCGACAGACTACCCCATTGGTCCATAAATTTAGGACTTTTACATGTCCATAATTTTAGGACTTTTACATGTACAATACGGTAGACAAGCAGTCTATTTAAATAATGTGTACCTTTGGAAGTAAAACAATAAAAGTGTCAATAGTGACTTTTGGGTTTGGTGAGTGAACTTGGTTTTCCTCAGTTTTTAACAGTATTCCAGCAGTATCACTGCGGAGGACCGCAGAAATGGGCTGTACAAATTGTACCCATGTGGGGAATGCAACCCTTCTTCGGCGTGATGAGCAGCCACTTTAACCACTAGGCTAACCCAGAGCCCCTTTTTGTTCATCATAATTTTCATAAATAGTCAAAAAGTAAACCAGAATGTCTCTACTTGTACACACAGTAGCAGTGACACAACAATATAAACAACGACAACAAAGAATAACACAACTCTGTCAAACAAATCAACCCAGTGGGCTAGTTTCAACCCTTATATTCCCTAATTCAGGTCATCACAAAGTGTGTTAATCTTAATAGCTCAGCTATCAAGTGAGTCAATCAACTGTGACTTAAGTTATAGCAGCAGAACCATAGTCTTTGGCACAAGATTCAAAATATCACACGCAGGCATACATCATGTGCATCAATCAACATGTGACAATTACAACAAACAGAGCTAGGATTACATACAACATAATTCATAATTATGATAACTGCCTTACAAAACAATTAAAGATTGTGAACATATTGATCTAATACAGTAATAGCTTATGTTCACTTTTAAACAGAACAATTACTTAAAAATAAAGCACTAAATAGTTTATCATGTCTATTGGAAGACATTTCATATAGATAATAACAAAAACATCACTCAAAGGATGTTTATGAATGTTTTTTGATCAAACAGTTTCATCCTTAACTTCTATTCCCCGATCAATAACTGAAATCTAGTATTAATAGTATTATAGATAAATATGATATACAACAATATAATTGATTTGAAATTAGGAAAGTCAATACAAAGACTGTTTTCCCTTGAGTTCAAAATGACGTTTCATGTCTTTCAGCATCATACAAAGAAATCCACAATGATTTTTTTTATCTAAACCTTGAAAATATTATGTTTTATGTTATGTAAACATCACATGATCTTCATTTGAAAACGTGTCAAATCTATGAAATTAATTATTTCAATACTTGTTTCTGAGACAGAAACTGAAATATAATGTAACAATTTTTACAGTAGTCTGTTGTTAATATCATGCCCTCCTTCCCACCCTCCCTGCACTTGACCTGTATCTCGTCTCTGTTGACACCTAAACCCTCAGTGAGGCCAGTTTAAGGTTGTGTAGGGTGGGCGTGTCCCCTTTAACTCACTATTTACGGCTCCATATTAAATTGTGTGGACTCATTTGACTCGCTTAAGAGTTAATTTGTCATGGAAAATTGAAAGCATGCCAATAACATTAATTTTTTCAAGATATCCCCACTTTGTGTCTAAAATATACTGTTAACCAGTGAGGAAATTACACTTAAGCAAGCATCTGAGTAATAATGCCTTTGGCTGGATCCAAATTATTTTCCAAAAGACACAAACCAGTTATCTCAGACCCCAAACATCCACAATCGGTGACAATTTACATCAAACTGTACTACTCCTATTGTTTTCAAGACAGTTTACAACACTTACCTGCAGACAATCCAGAGCTGCCTCCCATAAACTGAACGTTGAAGAAATGTGGGTAGGTACTCTTTAGAGCATGCAAAAAGTTTTCATAAGCTGGTCCACCCTTCACAGATAAAACATCTAAGAGTTTTTCAACTTTTGCCATCCGAGAGGACTGTCCTTCTATCTCAGCGACCTCGTCGGGTCCTAACACTTGCGCTCCCTTCTCCAGGTAAGGACACAACTTGTCAACTTCTACCGTCTGTACAATCTTCGACCGGTGCATCGCGACCAGCTCCTTGTGCTTATCATCCATCATTGAATCCCGTGATCAAGCCACAAAAGAAACAGATCTACAACGACCAAGATCTCGGTCCGACTTATGATCGGGGGAAGTTAATAATTGATCATTTTGTAAGAGTTCGGAGACACAAGTCGGCCATGTTTTACAAGAAATCGATTGAAAACAATACAGGCAAATTGAAAACAGGCGAGGTTCACAGTGATAGTTGCAAACCATTTGACATCTGGGGTGCAGAATAATCGTCCATAAAACTTTGGAATCAAACGCCAATTTACAAAGTCCTTTTCCATAGTTAGCCGTCAGTACAGCTACATCGCTACGACTTGATAAATAAGCTATTTAGCAAGCGCCATATTGACGAGCTGCGCTGACATTCCAAAAATGGCAACAGAGTTGAGGTCAAATAAATTGAACGCTGAAATAGTAAATATAGTAATAAAACATAACATGTTATAACTTTTAAAGTTATTTCATATATTATTTGCTATTTAAAAAATTAATTCACGCATTTTGACCTTGATTTTTACGACATGACGTATCGAAATCTCTTGCAAGGGAGCTAACTCTTAAAAATAGGTTAACAGGTGCGCGTTAGTTAATTCCGTTAGTCGGTAGAGCACCCACGAAACACTATAAATGCGTTCAATGTTCAGAACTCAAGTCTGCCATTTGAAACACATACATACATATCAGAGACTTTATCATACATTGTTTTTTTAATTCGGCAGAGTAATTGCCCACAGTCCTGGCGTGTCAAGGACAAATAGGTTTGAAGACACACTACTGGCTCACTGCAATATGATTAAACATGAAGTGCCCTGCTTAAGATAATACTTTGTACATTCACCCAGTCATATAGGAAATTAGTCACATTTAAAGGCAATTTACCTGTATATATACGCCTAGAGATTCTATCATTAAATACACTGAACTGCCCTGAATAAGGTCGAGATAGGTATATAGCGTATCGGTTAGCACAAGTCATAAGATATAAATTAACGTTTCATCCATGAAATGAATTTTTGCTTGATAAAGTAAAGGCGATATACATTTCTAATGCACATGTAAGATCGGGCCATAAATATGAGCACGTGAGTCACGCGCTGATGACGTCATGCGCCCTCTTTACGTGTGTCAAATTTATGATAATTGCCCTTTGTCACGCAAACGTTTGTCAGTGTGGAACTGATTTGACTCTTATTGGCATAAAGATACTGACTTACGTAAACAACTATACACATAAGTTTCCTGAACAATGCCAATGTAAAATGAAAAAACAACAACATTCAATTCATTATTTCATTCTTATTATGCTATATATGATGTACATTGTTTGTTCAAAACATGTTACAGACTTCATGGCTGCCTTGTGATTGCTCTTGTTTACATAAGATAATGTAATGAAAAATTATAGCCCTACTGATGTCAAACACTGCAAGGCCACGGAGATGCCAATGATTACATGATCACTGAATACTGCATGCATGATAAAGGCATTACCAGGGTCGATGTTAAACACTGCAAGGCCACGAAGATGCCATTGCTTACATGATCATTGAAAACTGCATGCATGATAAAGGCATTACCAGGGTCGATGTTAAACACTGCAAGACCACGGAGATGCCAATGCTTACATGATCATTGAATACTGCATGCATGATAAAGGCTTTACCAGGGTCGATGTTAAACACTGCAAGACCACGGAGATGCCAATGCTTACATGATCATTGAAAACTGCATGCATGATAAAGGCTTTACCAGGGTCGATGTTAAACACTGCAAGACCACGGAGATGCCAATGCTTACATGATCATTGAATACTGCATGCATGATAAAGGCTTTACCAGGGTCGATGTTAAACACTGCAAGGCCACGGAGATGCCAATGCTTACATGATCATTGAATACTGCATGCATGATAAAGACTTTACCAGGGTCGATGTTAAACACTGCAAGACCACGGAGATGCCAATGCTTACATGGCCATTGAAAACTGCAAGTATGATAAAGGCTTAAGCAAGGTGGATGTTATACAGTGGAGGATGTCAGAGTGACACGGTCGAAACAAGGCCGCTTATGATTCATGCCACGAATTGGAGAAATGGTAACATGATGGATATACGACACGAGGGCTCAACTCGCACTTAACTTGTGGAAAGGTAATTGGAAGTAAGATCGAATGGCAGTTACTGAAGAGCAAGTGTCATGTATTATTGTATTAATGCAAACAGGTAAAAAGTATCAGGTCCAATATGAATGACTCATGTCGTCTGTGTCGAAACAGTTCTCTGGGATTGCCTCATTACCGATATTTTCTTTATAAGAGTCAACACGTCTTCTCGGGTTGTTACAATGAAACAAGGGAATTTAACCAAGGAGGTTTGTTTATTCCTGAAGTATATCGGTGATCTCAGATGGTTCAAGGATGGCGAGATAAGCTATTCCCTTCACCTGATTTATCTACTACAACTAGAAGTGAGAAACAAGTAAATTTGCCTCATGGTTTTCGCATTCAGATCAGTGCTTAGATTCAGATTGATAACAACTATATCTATACGGTGATGTGTGAGTGAGTATGAGTGAGTGAGTGAGTATGAATTTACGCACGCCCCTTTTAGCAATATTCCAGCAATATCACGGCGGGGGACACCAGAAATGGGCTTCACACATTGTAACCCATGTGGGGAATCGAACCCGGACGAGCGAACGCTTAAACCACTATGCTACCCCTATTTTGTGTAAATTATTGTACTACATATGTATATTGTTTCTCTTATGATTCAGTTGAAGGCAAAGTTACTTTACTTGGAAATCATACCCGTGGACATCCGGGTTATAATGCTTATCTTAAAAGGCGACTAATCCGATTGTGAAGTCAGGCTCGCTGAATTGGTTGACAACATGTCATCGTATCCCAATTGCGTAGATCGATGTTCATGCTAGTAGTGTACCACAGCACCCTGGGGTCTTTTTCAAGATGGCGGCACTTCCGGTCACATGACCCAAGATGGCGTCACTTCCGCTAAGGGGAGGTAACTTGGGTTCCTGTTCCGGTTCTGGTGTGTGTGTGTGTGTGTGTGGTTCCGGTCCCGGTGTGCGCGCGCATCACAATGAGGTCACATCCGGGCCAAGAGGACTCCCTGTTCAAGATGGCGGCCCATCCGGTGGGATCTCATGTGATCACGCGGGATCTCATGAGAGTAGACGCATGTCAAGATTGCGGCGGACGGACGGGAAGGAGGGAGGGAGAGGGAGGGATTCCCATGTGGAATTCCCAGAACTGGATATTTTCTGAGAACTGCTCATTCAAATAGTCTTTAACGTAGGAGCCCTGCGTTGACATTCTGGGCGATAGCATTATCGTCATCCATTTTTTCCAGTTTCATCTGTATACCATCCTGGGCACTGGAGATACGTCCTTTTGGCTGCCTCCACATAACTTAGTCACATTTTCAAATAGGCTCGGTAGGATAGGTTCCCATGGAGGGAGTAATTTCCAACTGATTGTGTCCCACAGGCACACGCACTTCTCGATAGAGGGAATGCATCATGTCGTTCACCGTGGACATGATGAGTGGCTCATTGCCATGATGAGTCGCATCCATGCCATCTGTATTCTTGATTTGAGCCAGATGCAGCCCCGACACTGACTCAAATCGATGTAAGCCCTGACAGGGTTATCAATGTAAAAATTCGAGGAGACCGTGACCTAAGGTGGTGCAGGTCTTCCTGTCTACGCCAATGGTACAACAGCCTATAATGCCACATTTCAGTGTATGAGTGAGTGGGGTTTGAGTGAGTTGGTGAGTGAGCTTATATTTATGACGCACTCAGCAATATCCCAGCTATACAACGGCAGTCTGTAAATAATCGAGTCTGGACCAGACAATACAGTGATCAACAGCATGAGCATCGATCTACACAATTGGGATACGATGACATGTGGTCAACAAATTCAGCGAGCCTGACCACCCGATCCCGAAAGTCGCCTCTTACGACAAGCATGGGTTACTGAAGACCAATTCTAACTCGGATCTTCACGGGTATCAATCGATTGACCTATGGTAGCAAGTGCCCTGTGAAAACACAGATGACCATCCATGCCTGTCAGTGTTTAACACACCTGTGGTCACTACCACTGTGAGTCCATCTCACAAAAACCAACGGTCCTTTTCAGGACCACGCATCTCTCAAAAGAATGTTGCGACCAATGCAAAAAATAACAATAACGATAGGTCAATCTTCTTATTTCATTCGACAAAAGATGCAGGAAGTAACACACACATCGATGTAGGCATTGACAGGGTAAGCAATGTTAAATTGGAAGGGACTCGTGACCGAAGGTGGCGCAAGAGGATTGTAATGAATCCACTGACCTTCTTGGACCAAAGTCATCACAGGGGACAGGAAAGAGATCCAGACTGCAGGATGTTTGGGATCGTAGTAGGTGTTGTGGAGCCGTCATGTCCATGCAGGAGACAAAGAGAACTCTCTGTTGTTGTTGTTCTCTTTGGATGTCTCATGTTGACACTGTCGTTGACATCACCCTCTGCTCTCTTTTATTAAAAGTGAATCCACTGACGAACACACCCACCAAGACGCCACCTACCAAGGCCCCATCCACCAAAGCAATCAGCAAGGCACCCGAAAACCTAAGAGCCTCAAAGCACCCAGGACTCCCAAGAAACAGTTGGAGATTGCTGATTTGTGGGAGAACTATCAACAAGCCAGCCGTGCTATTGAAGAAGGCGAGAAGGGTCAAGGGACCAGTCCTGCCATCCCCAAAGAGATACCCCATGAAGACCAACCTCAAGTACAGATGTCTGAGGGAGAGATGCTGCCTCTGACGATGCCGGAGATGCCCCTCTTTACACCAACAGAAGACTGACTGACTGACTGAGTTTGGTTTTACGCCGCTTTTAGCAATATTCCAGCAACATCACGGCGGGGGACACCAGAAATGGGCTTCACACATTGTGCCCATGTGGGGATTCGAACCCGGGTCTTCGGCGTGACTAGCCAACGCTTTAACCATTAGGCTACCCCACCGCCCCCCCAACAGAAGAAGAGCACCCGGCTTCACAGATGACTCCAGAGATGGCTCCAGAGATGGCTCCAGAGATGGCTCCAGAGCTGGGTGCTGAGGCCATAGTCAACATCCCTATGTTCTATGACGAAAGACATTTCCATCCGGGACAAATGGACTATTTGCGTTGTGATACATGTAATCCTCAGGATCACCAGAACTGGTGGTGAAATGATCTGTTGATGTTCATCAATAAATGTTTTGCATTGCACCACCTCTTGTGTTGGGTCGTATATCAATATGGATCTCAGATCCTTGAGGTCATTTCCAGTGCAACGTACTTGGTGATAAGATGCCTTTC